TTATGAAAATTGTCAATTATTAATTCATTTTCTTGTGTGTGGGTAGGTGTGGTGTGGGTAAAAATCTAATATCAGAAAAAAAAGGCTTTAGAATTTATCAAAGTAATTGTCCTCTTTTGAAAAATCTGAAAATGTGCTCTTTTATCTATTTGTTGAACTTTATTTTACAACTTAATCTGAGATTACCAGGTTTTCCATGTGGGCTATGAAATTGTTAATGAATGAAAGGATTGCTCGTTTTTTTTTTTTACTAAACTTCTGATTCAACTTAGTTTTGTGTATATATTCTCATATACATTATCTATAAAAATGGGCAAGAATGCTAAGATTGGGTTACTTGTAGAATAGCTTTTTGAYGTGAAGCATTGAGTACATGTATGTCATATGCTAGAGGAGATATGCTAACATTAACATTTTGATAACCTACGTTAGAAAATGAAATTTGCCTTTAAAAGGAGAAGAATTTCGTTCTTGTACCTCAAATACTGACAATATTGCAATATATTTTGATTCATAATGGTGTCAACTTCGWACTTATTAATCCAGAACTTTTCAAACTATGATACCTAACATCTGTTATTGAAAATCGTACTTATATTTTCTTTTGRTCTAATAAGACAAATGATACATGTATATGTTATAACCAGATGTTCCGAAATAATAACTTAACTACACGTTGATTTTTTTCATTTTTGTCATTGAAAACCATTTAAATGTGTTTGATATCATCAAGGGGGTATAAGTTACAGAAGAAAACAACGGGTTTGGTTTACAAAACATCAATGAAGTTTGTCATTGAATACCGTGTAGTTTGTTACAGCAATTTCCTTTAGAATAATTGCTCTTAAAAGCTTTTAGTTTTCATGATTTTAAATTGATTTGGACCTATGGCCGCTAGAAAATTTAAAACACAAASAATGTAAAAAGTCAGGACCAATTCCTTAGTTTTTGACGTCACCTCATTTGCATTTTCAATTTTCAAATGTCTACAACTCAATTCAATTCAGAATCCATTTCTTTCTTCACAGATGTGCTTGGAAGCGTGTTACCTTTCTGGTAAAAGTGATTTTCTAAAAGGTGTCATGTGCACTTTAAGCCAAATTCTGTTTACTCTAAGAAAGTCTTTCTGTCACGCAATTTTGAAAAAAATTACTTAAATTTAGGAAGTAATAAATGAAATAATGCATAAATAAATGATATATARGTCTTTTGTGGCTGTACTTGTATGTTGTAAAAACTTGTTTTTCTGGTTTTCAGGACGTTTCTTCAAACTGGCTAACCGTTCTGCAAGTAACCTTACAACTCAGCGGTATACCATCGCACACGACTAAAGGTTTAAACACTGCGTACGCTTTTGTTGTSTTACTGTTAAGTGATTTGCCTATATTTATCTTCAGCGTAGTCTTTTGGTTTACAATTGCTCAGAAAATTGCTTCATAGAATAGCYTGCTTCACGATTCCCTGCGTCACCTGCGAGAAGACCGATGAGGCTCATCCATTAGTTCACTACACCATAAGGAACATAAAGCTTTCAGCTAACGTCACCATTTCTCTCTGTCCATAGCTGCTTCCTTCGCTAAGCCTTACAATCTTTTATAAAATTATATGAAACACAGTCTATGATTGTGTTACTACAACTTTCCCTTCCCTTTTTGCAATGTTGTTTGTCAATAAATTCCTATCGACAAAGATGAGGAAAGGAACGTATGTATAACCTTGCAGTGGGGCGATGGGTACAAACCTTCTTTCAAACCTACAGATTAATCAGAGGTATTGTAAACTTAACGGTCTYCTCGCTGCGATGCAAACATATGGTTACATTTCAAGATGGCGAAGGGAACCGCGAAGAAGACTATTTAAACTATATTCATTTTATATAACGACAAAAAAAACAAAGCAAAGAAACAAAAAATAAAGACACGTTTTAAGGTTTACGTAAACGGACATTCAAAAAATAGAGAACTATATTTCCTGTCATATTTCATATCCATTTGTTTTAGGAAACATGGCGTCGCTGTACTTTGCTTATTTGTATTCGGCAATTCAAATAATGTTTTCCGGCCTTGCAATAACTGTATGTATATGTGTAATTATGTTGCKTATTTGCGGTCTTTCTTTGTTGTTGTTGTGTCGTCGTCGTTGTTATTATTGTTGTTGCTTTTAATCGCTTTGTTCGCGTTGATGATTTTCTCTGAAAGAGCTATATAGTAAATATTTGTAAATATTACCAAGATTAGATCATTATACTGAAGTATTGAAGCAAAGTTTAGATGCTTTAGGTTCAATTGTTGATATACAAAAGAACTATTTACATTGAAAGGAGAAACCGTTAAATATTTAAAAGCAATAAAATGCACTAGTGAAGAGACCGTGAAATTTTGAGTTTTTCTTCTTCGTCAAAAGTGTTGTATTTGAATACTCGTTTTTGAAGCTTTAGAAAAGCTTTAGTYACCATCAAACAGCGGTTTATTCATTCAAAGTTTCAATAAACGTTTCTTCATCCTCATCACTCAGTCTCGATGTATTAACGTATTCAACAGAATTCAGGGAAATATAGTCCTTGAATATGACAAATTTCGAAATGTTTCGAGAAGATTGAAGTGGTTTATTGTAAGAGTTGTTCACATATCATTATAGTTCRAGATTGCTGACACTATATTTTCGTGAAGTGTTTTTTCCTCTCTTGTAGCGTTCCTTTGTTTCCTCAAACAATAAAACCAAGATAAACAGGAGCTTGGCTAACGACTTATTTAGTTTCCTTTTTGTACAAATAAATACAATTTTCCATGTATTTCCTCTATGGTCAAGTTGTTTACATTCCGGCTGAAAATCGATTATGAAATTTTAKGTTTATTTTGATTCATTTTTATTTCAATTTGCAACTTTTCTTTTTWCTGATTTTATTGACTTACTGAATCGAAATTTGTGTCCTTGATAAGCTATTATGTAATGCTTTAAGTTGTATCAATAGTATCCTTATTATTTTCGATATGTTATATAACCTGTCTTATTTTGTTTCGTAACTTGATTATTCTCCATAATAGGCAGACTTGGAGTTATGTCTAAGAGGCTGGCATAATCTCTATCGAATCAATAACAGAACTTTCTTTAAACTGGTTAACTCAAGCCGCTTTCCAAGCAGTTGTGGGCAGTTTAAAAGGCTATCTGGTACGATAATCTCGTTTTTAAAAGCTTAAAGAAATGTCGAAATCTAATCCAAAAGACTCTTATATGCGCTTCCGTACCAGAGTACTTGACTCACTTTTCAGGAAAAAAGCATGAAAACTTAAGAAGTCTGTAGCGTGATAAAACTGTGCTCTGTAGTTATGGCGACTGCATTATTGTACTTCAAGTTTTAGTGATAGTAATCACGTTTTACTCGTTGCAGTTTTTAAGAATAACGAAAAAAGACACTAAAGTTGTCTGAAGTTGTTGTCGTTATATTTCATTGTTTAAACTAGAACGCATTTATGACAGTAGATCTTGTTCAGCACAAAATACTAAATGAAAAGAGGGGACATTATGTAATATTAACTATTAGTAATAAATGAGAAAACTATCGAATTACGACAATTCTATGTATTTCTTTTTTCGAGAAATCGTCTCAAGGGGCTATTATAGTTTGCGGTTTGACGGTTTCTCAGGCTGATTTTAGAGGTCGGTTTTTGGCATTAATGACACTTTTGTAGCGGTTTCGGTTGCGTAAAATCGCCGATTTTATTACATGGTTCAGGGACTTTAGTCAGAGTGAACGGACAACCGAGACAAGCGACCGCCGAATGCGGGAGGAACTAGGGGGTTCTGGGGGCATTCTCCCCCTAGGAAATTTGAAATTCAGTCTCTCGGAAATGCGGAAACTCTTTATTGAACAGATTTAACCGGAATTTATCATGCAATATTTATGAAACAAAGAAGCTATACGTAAAAAAATTAATATTATTTCTATATTTTTTGCACAAAATCAGTCGTACGAAATCGGCAAAGAAGCTATACGTATAAATTTGATATTATTTTTATATTTTTTGCACAAAATCAGTCGTACGAAATCGGCTCTGAGAGGCTAAAATGATATCAGTGTTGAAAAACAAAAAGCATCGGCAAAATTTTATCGAGGCGAGTAGACTTTTTTTAAGATGCCTGACTAGTTGGACTAGACAACGAGAAGGGATTATAGTAATCACCAACCAAGTAAATACGAGATTACAGTTTATAGGTAAACCTTTCTACATGCCAAAAAAATGCAAACTCACGCGAACATCCTGCTCTAGGAACAAACTGTTTATTTTCGATTGGTTTTGGTAGGAGATTATCGAAGATAACAGGTTTAGCGAAGATGACGCATTAGACATTTCAGCTTTTGTAGTTCTATCGGGATATCTGACTCTGACAAGAATTGTTTGATKTTCGCGCATCTATCCTAGTACGCATGGCAGTCCAATGACTTGATTTTCTTTATAATTCAATTAATAAAAGAAATGCCAATCTAAAGAAAACGAACAAAAGGCGATATTACTCATGAATCACGTTTCACAAGACGTGCCTTTTACTTTGATATAATTACTGTCGCTTTGCGCGAGGATCGCGTGACTAAAGACCCGTCGATTTAACGCACCCTTTTCACACCTAATCGAGCGACTATCACCTAACAAAATAGACCAATGGGATTTTATTCATCGTTTTTCCATCTGAAATTTGAATATGGCTACATATCTCGAAAAACCATCGGTTTGCGTTCGTGTGTTTGCTCTAAGTGACTTTCTATTTGTGGCCCTGAGGAAGTTTAGTCCCATTTAATGCGATAACATGTTGTGTTTTAATTGACGGCAGTCTCATATGTGTAATATTCCCATATGTGCTATTTATTTGATGTCAAATCTGCCACTATATGACGTCTGTAGTCGCCTCAAACACCATTTGGTTCCTGCTATATTTGATTCGGTTTAATTGTAATTTTCACTCCAATAGTACTGTGCGAACGTCTCCGCAAATAACAAAAAATGTTATTGAATTAAATATTTCACTAGATACGACATTTGAAAAAACACTGATTGTAATGTTAAAAAAAACGATAAATTGCTTTGCGATTATTTAGTTGAATGCGATAAAAAAATAAACAGGCCATTTGTACAGAGAAAGAGCGATCCAACCGGAAGTAAAGATCTGGGAGAGATTCAGTTGTAAATATCACCCACCAAGAGCATTTTCAACACGATTAACGCTTGGTTTACCCATTACTAATGTACAAACATTTTCTCAGCGTGCTAAATTAGCCGTTTAAAGTAATTTTGCTATTTGATTTTTATACTGATGTACATTGAACATCATGTCTTGGTGTGACACGCGGTGGATTACTTCCTCGAAACGAGCCAGTTTGATCCTCCATTTGAAATGAGCCAATTAAAGTTCTTCCCGTGGACGCACTGTTCGTTCTGCTTCGCTTAGTGGAGTTCTCGTTTTGCGCACAAAAGCAGAATTGTTGAGGTGCGCACATAAGCTTTTTTAAGGCCTTTCTGAAGTCTTTGTTTATGCCTGCGTAGATCCAAGGGTTAACGAAAGAGTTGATGAATGGGAGATAGTGAATCAAATGGCTGAAAAATTCCGGTATTTGCGCTTGTTTTGAGGGATGAAATGTTTCCACCATAGCTATAATTAAGTAAGGAGCCCAAGCTATAATAAACATACTGATTGTGATAGCCAGAGTCTTCGTGATGCATAGCTCTTTGTAGAATCTTTTCCGACGGTCAGAGACGGCGTTTCGTTTTCTATTCAAAGGATCCGTTGAGGTCACATTATGCTCATTGTATTTCATTTTCGACAATTGCTCAACAGCCGCACTGTATATACAGGCATATGCGAATATCATAGTGAGTAATGGAACACAAAGTATAGCGATAAATACGAAAATAGCCCATACGTAAATGGCTGTAGTGCTGTGATACTGAATGAACGAGATACCCGAAATCACAAGAGACATGATCCAAACGCTTGAAATCGCCTTGTTAGCTCGGCTCCGGGTCACCATCTCTCTGTAGCGAAGTGGCTTGTTGATAGCTAAATATCTGTCCAACGAAACCAGCGTCGCGCTGTAGATCGACACGGCGGCACAAAACACATCAACCCATCTTGTACACAAGTCCAACAGCAATAGTTTGTAATTAGTATCTAAAGGGATAAAAGCATTGCTAAGCCACGCAGGTATTGCTAGGAAAGCCACCGAGAGATCAGCCGAGGCAAGTGAAATAACGAAACAGTTTGTCACAGTACGTAGACCACGAAACGCGTATACAGCAAGAAAGACCAGCAAATTACTTGCTATTGTTACAACAATCAACAACAAGATGGCGATGATAAAAGTCGCCCTTCGCGCAAAGTCATCGCGCTGCGATCCATCGGAGAAATTCGTGGGTTTTTGGTTTTCCATACCGAGACTGTTGTTCAACGCCATGGAACTTCACGTAAACACTGCCTCTGCAGGTGCACGTCTTTGTTATGGAGCCCGGTTGATCGTCGACGATGTTTCTAAACARAAAAAGCAAAATAACAATCACCAGGAGGAAATTATTCATTTGAAAATTTCATTTGCGCTTGAAAACATTATTGAGTCTCCCCTTCTAAAGTATATTCCAAAGACCGCAAGGCAAATGATGGATTTCCTCACCTCGAGTAGTTCACCCAACGATTATTTACGGTCAAAAGAATAGTTAATGGCAATAAGGAGTATAAATCATTTGAAGCTTTGCGGCTAGAGTGATAAAGCTCGAACATCGAGGGTCAGTCTTACTTCCCTCCTACGCCCAGCCTATCGGTTCAGTTTACTAACTATCTGACCTGACAATATATTGCTCTCAGCCCACAGAACTATATAGCAGCAGACCATCACAACGTGGTGTTGCTCTTTTTACCTTGAGGCTGTTTATGAATTTGACATTTGTCCCAGTCTGTAAATGTAATGAGACTGCTTTCTTTAGAAAGAAAGGTTGGTACAAGTGGTCCTTTTAGTCAAACAATGGGAGCTCACTATATGCGTTTGACGACTTGTTGACAGAGTTGAGCTTTTTCTTTTGAGTTGGTTCGAGAGGTGCACCGAGCCGGTCCAAGCACCTATGTGTTCTATCTCTACTCTTTTTACAAAGGCATTACTGATCATCTACGTTTTGAATATTATCTAAACGCTCCGGCAGCATCTCAGTTTCCGAGTTTATCACTTGATATGAAGGACCTGCCTTTTAATTCACATTAAGGCATTTATCAGCTCGATTTGTGATAATATTATTTTTAGCCGGTCCATGAACCAGATGTCTCAAAGTGCGCAGTGAAGATATCGACAGCATTAAAAAGAAAGAGATGAAACTATAAAGAAAAGAAAATCAAAGAAACATTTGGAGTAAATGAATGAGAARAATTAAGGAAAGGTTTTTTCACTGACGCTGATCTCATTTGAAAACAACAAATGTACTTTTTTTTATCTGTACCCAGCTCACACAAGAAATGTTTACTTTAGAAAATAATCGTTATCATCCGGGCTTTTAAATCCGGCTTTCTTGTTCGATTCAATTTACGCCRAATACTCGCGATTTGATTTTTYTTCTGTCTTGTTTGCAAAACCTACTGACTTTTGACGTCTACTGGCTTTTTGRATGACACCCTGTGGTTTGTTATGGAACAACCTTGCGATTTTCGTCGATAATATATCTCAATTTCTGTCAATTTTCTAATGTCATGTTTGAAGAACATCTCTTAAGGCACAGCCCAGTCAGCTAATGTTAAAACACCCTTACWCCTGATCACTCAGACATTCATATTCATAAATCACAAACTTTACAAATTGATTTAAGATTTTGAAGTTTCTTGTACATCAGCAGCTTTTTACATTTATGGCATTTGATCTTAAAAGCCACGAAATKATCTATTCGCCATATTGATGCTGAACTGATAATGCATTGAATTAACTTGTGAATCTCGATATACGGCTGTCGGCGACCAAAATACACCAGCACAAGATAGACCTTTTAGTAACTACGAAACAAACTCGSTCCCTGCTCGTCTAGACTGGTGAGGTTTATAATTTCGAAGGTTATAGAAAACCAATACAAAAAACGCATCAGTGAAAGCTAAGACTTGCCCCCMAAAAAAACAGCCAAATCAAAACAGTGTGTGATCGAGTATTTGTTTTGCGGGGTTTCTCTGTTGACGTCCAACCTCTTCATCCGTATCTTAACGACTTCCACTGATGTGGGCTTGGGATTGCCTTTACAAACATCGAGACGAAATGAACACTTGGAAGGTTCTTGACAAGCGTGACTTGAGAGTGTACATTTTCGTATAAAACTGCGAACGCTTATTGATCCTTAGAATACTGTAGGCCGTATCACTAGCAAGTGATTAATGATCAATCGTTTATTTGCACTTATATACAGTGTACTTTATCGTCGAAGTTTTCAATATATTGTTTTTAAGTTTTTGTTTGGTATGTTGTCTTTTACTTTATTCAATTGATGAACAGTTGTAAATCTAAGTAAAGCGAACCCCCGCCAGTTCCGTTTGACTATGTAGACAAATCTAATTAATTATATGAAAAAAAYAATCTTTTTGTCAAAGAAAATGAGATCTTGTTTAGATTGTTTACAATTCTTTATAAGATTTGTTAGATCAAATGCACAAAATTCCCAGAATATCTCGCCATGGAAATTAACCAAAACAGAACAAACGTAGCGAGTCAATGTCATGTTAAAGGTATAATTATTGCCGACATCCTCTGCCCCTGCTGCCAGACTCGTTTGCTTAACTAGCACTGAGAATTAAACAAAGAATAACGAGAAATAAAGTCAGTTATACCTCCCGATAAGACACACTTTAGATCTGGAGTTTGAATAATCAATTAAAAGTTCGACGCTTTTAGGAGAGGCGGCAAATTTTTAAGAAAACAAGAAATAAATGAAGCAATATTTATCCAAAACATCGCTATCGATCTTGGCAGGTATAAAAGCTCAAGTTATAGAGCGCGTTTTGTCCAAGTAGATTTTGTTTTTATTTCAATTTAAGGTGATCTTGGCTTTGTGGAGAGTTACCAAAGTGCTTTTTATTAACGGCAATTTTGCGTTGAAATGATCGGAAGAGTCATTTACACTCTCGCTGCATGCAATTTAAAGATCCAGTTGTTTGTTTAAAACAAAAATGTTCTGTCGAATTGGAGAAGTGTTTATCCCATCGACATGAAGGTAGCTAACGCACTATCAAAAATGTATGCGGTTTTGTTCAGTTACCTTTAGTTGCTCTCTCTATCAGAAAATCAAATCGTCGTCTTCTTCCCAGCTATCTTGAATTAAAATTTGATTATCTGTTTTTGAACGACCCAAGTCTGTTATCAAAAGGAACCATCCAGCTGTCTTTCTTTAAGCATTTGGATAGAAAAGTATCGCTTGTGATGCTATTCGTAAGACTCTTACACATCTATACTAGTTTCCTAGTTTTGACTCCGCGATTTATAGCTCCTTATGGCCCCACGAAATGCTCTCATTATTTGCAGAGTGTATTGCTTCATTAAGCGGAATTTGTACTTTCATTGACCTAGGTGTAGTAATTCTACGATTGGTCCAATGACAGGACGAGCTGAGTGGAAGCACTTTTCACACTATAACCATCATTGGCGCAGGTGAACGGCAAAAGGTGTCGGTCAACTTTCGTTCGGCTCTATGGCAACGCACGGAAATTTCAAAATTCGCAGGCAAGAATATACAGCATTTACCTTCATGAATATGCTGAACGTTTCTTTTATTTCCAAATCAATTTACTTGACATCTGAATGTTTCCTGGTTTGTATTACCGAGTGCAAATTTGCTCAAAACAAATAAAAATGTTTCTAGACCAACAAACTTATTGCTGGCGCTATTGTTACTGCTAATTCCCCGCTAGAAAAGCCGTTGAAACATTTAATTGAATGACAATCAGATACTGATTGAAATTCTGCGCACTAAAAGGACTTAAAAGGACCGCAAAAGGGAAAATTTAAAATGGTTTCAATGATGCTGTCAGCTTCTCTTCTTACGGCACAAGTGCATTGCTAATTGGGGAAGCTCGATTTTCRCTCGCCGTCTCATGAACGATCAGTTTAAATTGTATTTAAAAATCCACGACCATTGTTTTGTAACCAATGACAYAAGATAACGATTGGATTAAAGACACTGTTGACATAAAAGTATAAACGATACAGTTGACATAATGTTTGCTTGAACTGTTTATCTTGTTGTTGTAGTATTCGTAGTCAGTGACTTGTGTTGCTTGTCCAGTTAAAGATGCGTTTATTTGGTTTAAGCGCGCTTGAATGCAAATAATAAACTGCGAGTCGAGATTTTGTGTTTATTAACACTAGCAAATCCCCTTGTTGCACCACGAATAGCACAGCTGTTGCTAATAATAAGGCGATTGATGCTTTGAATGAAATCCATCGAAACTATCAGAAACATTAAGGAAATCGCTTAAACTGTGAGCCAACCTAAAACCCGATTTCTTTTTAGGGATTACCTACTTTCTGAAAGCCCTAATCAGAGCGCTCGAACCGCGATAAACAAACCGTAACTAAGGTAACTATCTCAACTAAAATGATGAAGATCCACTTGTCTTAAAAGTAAGAAACYAGCGCTAGTTTATAAGGTCTTTCTCTGCCTTTATTAAACCTATTTCTATTTCTCTCAGATCAGCTATACTCGAAKACAGACACTATATGACTTTGAAATTATGAACTTATTAACTTTCTTACTTATTTTTGAAAGTAAGATCAAAAACGAYCATTCGGACATCATGTAAAGGAAAAAAAAAAACAAAAAAATATGAATTCTATAATTAATTTCGACCAACAATTCTCATGTCAATAACTCGAGAAAGATTAATTGAATATATGCAATCGACGCTGACAATAATATACGAACAATTTCGATTTTAATTAAAATGGTGKGAATTGTCTTTTATTTCATTTGGAATTAAATTGCGTTTTTCATATTTTTTACCCGCACCATTACCAGGCTTCACTTTTTCCCTTCAAACTAAATATAGAGACTGCTAGAGTAGATGGACTAAATGATTATCAAAATTGTATATTGATTGTAGTTGATATTACAAAATTAATGAATCAAAATACCGACGGTATAAGAGTTGAAAAGGTCTATATTCATGTACAAATGTAAAACTTCTGTTGAAGATACTACGATCAGATCGACATAACATGCCCACTGCACTACCAAACTATTTTGCACTTTATAATTTCAGTGCTTTCGTAATCACGATATTTTCCTTCGGGCGAAAACAGCAATCGAAAATACCTTTAACTATATTGTATAAACAAAAATTGAGTATAATTCAGTTCTGAAAAATAAATACAGTAATTGTCATTACTGTTTTTAACTTGTGATTCTTTTTGTCTAGATTTAGTATTCTGTAAAAGATATTTCATGGTTGATTCCCCTTTGAATTATAGCAATATCCATGAATTTACTATGCATGTATACGATCGAATATCCGACGAGGCCATTACCGCAAATAATAGAGCCATTATGGAAAAAATCGCTTGGAGATAAGAGTAAAATGGAGTCATATCAGTTTGAAAGATAGCCGTCTTATTTGTCGTCCTACTTTGAACATATTATTAGATGCATGACCTCCCCCCTCCTAAAAGCGAACCTTAAAGTAAGGATAAAGAAAGTAGCACATGGTGTCCGGGGGAGGGAGGGGGCTTTTTAGGATTTCGATTTAATTTTCACTGGTGATAACCAAGGAAGTAAAATGAGATAAAAGGTCTGTTTTTAACTTCTTTCGCCGTTTTTAAAGGTATTGAAAGACCTTTATTTGGTGCGAAAAGCACAGAAAAAAAACTTGAAAAAATTCAAGAAAGAATACGAGAGAAGATTAAAAACAACTAATCATATCTGTTTTTGACGTTTACGCCTGAAACGTGTARGTATATCGTGACCGTGTCAGCTTCATGTTTTGAGTTCTCATCCGCTTTTGTGGAGGCGATCTTACTTGAAATTAATAAGACCACGGACGATTGGTCGCCCGATTAGGAAAATCCAAAATCCGGCCAAAAGCAATTAACAAAGGAGTTAACCGTTCACGATCGGCAAGGGTTTTCCGGCCAGTTTATATATCTAGAACGAAAATGTTAATTAAGTCTGTCAGGTCGTGGAAGTTTCAAGGCTTTTTTCAGTTGATATTGCGAAATATTGCGAAATATCCCAAAATATATTTTGTTTCTTTGAATAAAAGTGTCTTTCGTGAAGAAGCGCGCGAAAATTGTGCAATGCTATGTATCAAGGTAACAATTTAATATGATATTGACAGTGCTCAAATTGCGAAACGTTTCAATAATGTAATTCCCTTTTTACATAGCACGCATGTCTTGGTGCACCAATTCTTTAGGATCTATTGACTTACTATCTATATTTCTAGCTATCTTTGTATAAGGTATACAACTTTTCCGATAACATTAAATACTGAATACGGCAAAATAATGCATTTCAAGACCGCACTACATTGTTGTTATTAACACCACGATAGCTGAATTACAAAATAACAGCTCTAAACTTAATTGCTTTTAAATTTCCATTAAGTTCTTGACTATGCGGAGCTCGGATAGCCACTCTGAAACCACGAAAACTTTTCAACGGTAAATACAGCTATCAACAACGCGATTCGGCATACACTATCCCGTATCATTATTTAATATTCATCTTTTCAATGAATTTTATGCGATTTTTGTTTTGTTTTGTTTTTTCGCAAACTAAGCTTGAATAAGCAAATGGATTTATAAAAAATTTCATGGAGTTTAATAACGGTAAATTAAAGGGTTACCGGCTACGCTACGTATTGCTATATTTATTTGTGTTGGTTATTCTAATGGGTGGGCGGCCATCTTGGAGAAGGTCTATTACCGACGCTTAATGACAGTCCCGAAGGTTTCCGTTATAACGAGTGTTAACTATACGTCGTTTTCCATCATCTATGTTCGCATTGTTAGACAACATTTATAAGAAACAGATTGAGCATGCGTAGTACAGTATGACACGATAGCCTGCGTCATATCCCTGAGGCATATCCGATCTTCTGCATCCTTTCTATGCGATGACGTTCGTAAAACAGCTCTGAATCCTAAATAAAATGTAATCATTTTCACGCCACCGTCAAAATAYATTTGTTGGCAAAAATTGTTGGGTATATTGAGTTTTTATAATATATATTAAATACCGAGCTGATATCCAAAATGTTTACCAAGAATCGGACATCTGTTCGAAGCCGCCATKTTTGATAGTTACTTCAATTATGTTTACAAAACAAAACAAAACATTTTTCATGTCCGAATACGTTTCAATTCCACGCCGCCATTTTTAAAACGTGAGGAGACTAAGACGTTCTGAAAAAATCCCCAATATTAAATTTTGAAAAGAAAAACGAATAGGCTGAGTTTTGGGGAAATATATGTAATGGAGGAGATGGAGGACAACACTGACAAAACGAAACAGTCAAAAAAGAGTAACGAGGAGAATAGAGACTCTTATTGCTTCTTGAAGGAGAAGTCCTATTTTACTGTTAGCACGTTGATTYGCTCGAGCAAACAGTCCGAAGATTCGAAGCGCGCAAGTTGCATTGCGTGCGATTCAGTTTTGCGAGTCGTTTTTGGATTAATTCSTAGGCCGTATGGATTTGACTTACTAGTGTGTGTCGCGAGGAAAAACGAGCTCGTGGTCATCTTACCTCACTTTTGCAAGTATTGAGTTACTCTTTGTGGACGCCGCCTAAGAAATAATTGTTATCCAAAAGAAAACATGTTGCAAAGCACGTTTGTGAATAAAAACAAATTGATTTTGAATTGAGTTTTTTGTGTATTTTCTGTCACAACTTCAAGGATATTGGTTTAGGTGTGCTCATCGAAGATATGTTACCTCTAGAACAGTTTTAGACTTAGTCCCTCCGCCGGCGGCGTTTTCTTTTCCGTCT